AGTCACTTAACCCCAACTGCCTAAAAAAAAAAAATATGGAAACCTGGGTCTGTGTTCTGGTTTAGACATTTCAGCTACTGGATTCTGGGTAAGACAGTGGGGTTCTCTTGAATGTGAAAGGGCCTCATGTGTATTTTATCAGACAAGGGGTGAGGAAAATGCTATGTGAACTTCAATATGAATTATTATTTTCTACCACTCACAATTCAACAGATCCAGGGAGATCAGCCTTCACAAGGACCTTAAAAAATTTCTTTTCGATGAACAAAAATCTATTTTTCTTCCTTCTCTCTTTTTTCCTTGCATTGAGGGAAAAAAAAGAAAAAGAAAACCCTTGTAAACAAAGATGCACAGTCAAGAAAACAAATTCTCATATTGGCCATGTCCAAAAATATGCTTCAATTCGTACCCTGAGGCTATCAACTCTCTGTTAGGCTCTTAACCTAACACCGTTAAGTGAATCAGGCACATGATACACAGAAGACTCTTGGGTCCTAATTTACATATTCTAATGAATCCACATGCCACCAGCTGGCCATGCACAAATGGGGAAACCCAACAGGTAGGGTTGGGTAATTGAAATGAGAGAAAAGAAAGGTAAAATAACTTCATGATGAGAGATAAGGGGATGATCAAGCACTAGCCTTGGAACCAGGAAGACTGGGGTTCAAATCCTGCCTCTGCCACATTCTGGCCAGTGGTCCTAGGCAAGTCTCAACCTCTCAGACGAGAAGTTGCATAGAAAGTTCAGCTCTGTATCGGTAAAGGGGATGAAATCAAAGGTCTAGTACAAAAATGGTTCCATTAATAATTAATAGTGATTAATTTCAGCATTTCAAGATAATTCATTTATGTCATTATTCAATAAGCACTTATTAAGTGCCTACTATTTGCAGGACACTGTAGTACACACTGAAGACAGGGATAAGGACTGGACCTGTGATTTTAATGATGAATCTAATTCTTTAATCAGAAAACTCCCTTAACCAATGGCACCAGAAATATGGAACCATTGCCAAATAGTCCCTCATCTCAAGGTATTCCATCATGCTATAATTTTCCTCACGTCCCATTAAGATCAAAAAGTCAGCCACTTTTACTTTTATTAATTCGCTTGAAATAAAGAAAACATTGAGTACGTATAATTTTATTATCTATCCCCATGTTACAAAGTTCCAGCATTATGTCTCGAAAGTGATTGTGAGAAAATGGAACTTCACTGAATTTTCTCCTTAAGAACTATTAAAAATGAATATGGAAGAGGGACCAGACCTATGATTTATTTCACTGGTACAGGGAACTCTCAGGTAAGGAAATCCCCTCCACTAATGCAGATTGGCACCTTCTCTGCAATTTACAGTCTTGGAGAGCTGCCTAAAGTACTGAGATGCTGAGAGATTTGTCTAAGCTCACACAGCTAAAATGTGTCAGAGGTAAAAATGTGAACCCAGTGGTTCCTGGCTCTATCACAACAATATCATAATTCTGCCCTCAAAATGGATACTAGTATAATGTGAAAAGCTATGAAAAAGTGATCATTTTAGTAACAAGACTTTTCTAGTGGGTATGCACCTGTATCAGCACATTCATAAATGGATATTTTTTCCCCTTATTCATAAGAAAAAAATAGATTCATACCTCCTCCCACCCCAGGGCAAAAAAATTATCTGAATTTCATAGATTTTCATAGATTATTTGAATTTCATGGATTATTTTTGCAGATGGTTTGAATTATTTATAGATTTTCATAGATTATTTGAATTTCAGTGTCTCCCCCAAGCCAGTGAGGGCTTCCTCTGTTGCCTTGTCCTCATAAGGAGTAAATACTTCAATGGCACATGAACTCTAGCAGGTCCTTTGAAGACAGAAACTCTGAGACTGGGTCCAGTGATGGACCATATGTCAGTTGCCCGAGGACCAACTTAGCTAAGCTGGGAGGGGTTCGTTATCAACTGGCTGTAGGATCATGAACTGTTTTGGCTAAAGTGACTATTGAAGACCATCTACTATTTTACAAAGAAGCTACGATCTGCACTGGTGGATGGATGACATGATTATAGATCCTTAAAACAGAGAAATTAGAAAAAAAGCATCTTCGGGTACTGCCATCTAACTTCAACCAGGCATTATTTCAGACAGAGATGATATCATTGCAAATGCACTCATGTCTCCAGCTTTGAGAATTTTCGGAATCATACCACCTGAAAATCCTGACATCTGGCAAAGACACTGTGAAAAACCAGGTATCTATGCTTGCCTCTTTCTACTCCTTTGCATGTGAAGTAATCTGTCTGTATTTTCCTGTCTGGCCATATCAATTTTCAGCACAGAAGAGAATGCTAATTGATCCTACATGTTGGCTGGCCTTGCTATCATTCCTCAGATTTAATTATCAAAAAATATTTGTAACAAAAATAAAAACGAGCCAGAATTCCCTGCCTTACCAATGGGCATTGTGCGCATGTGGAAACGGGGTTCGTTTTCTGGAATCAAATTAGAGGATTGGATAGCTGGGCTCCATCCATTCAGCTTGGACATTATGTAACCAGCCCAGCCCCTTCCTCTTGCCCTCTCTATGTATCTCTGTTATCATAAAACCTATTCAAACTTCTTCCAAGGGCAAGGAACAACACTTACAAGACAGCTTCCTAGGGAAGCCCAAAGCTTACCTCACCCTTCCCAGTGAAGGAAACAAGCAGACCTAGTCTTTTCCAGGGCTGTTATTTTAATAAGCCCTCCGAGGGCTTGCCCTGGTCAGCAGCTGGACTTTTCCTATGCCTTGTTTTCTTTATACGGGTTTTTGAAGAGTGTGTGTATGGTTCAATCAGGGTTGATCTGTAAATAATGATAAAACATCCAGAGGAATCCACCTTGGAAATTCCTCTGTACCAGGGAAAATAGAGCAAATTAGAAGAGTCAATGCTCGTGGATTTCCCATTCACTGGAGCTGGTATTCCTAAGCTTGAATCAACTATGCCAAGCTGCAGCTCCTTCCCCAAGGAGTCCTACTACTCCAGATCAGCAGCAAGCTATTAAAAGACTTTCAGCCTCAATTTTACCATCTTTAAGATGGAAATAATAATAGCATCTATTTTACAGCGCCAGTATGAGGATCTAATGAGCTAATATATATAAACCACTGAAAGTACTATTACATAAATTCTAGCTGTTATTATTATTCCCTAATTCTTAGCTTGAGTAGCTAGGTTGGCACAGTAGATGGAATGCCAAGCCTAGAGTCAGGAAGACCTGAGTTCATATCTGGCCTTAGACACTTACTAGCTGTGTGACCCTGGGCAAGTCATTTTAACCTGTTGGCTTTAGTTTTCTCATCTGTCAAATGAGCTGGAGAAGGAAATGGCAAACCAATGCAGCATCTTTGCCAAGAAAGCTCCAAATGGGGTCATGGAGAGTTGGATATGATTGAAACAACTGAACAACAACAAAATCCTTAGCTTGATGGCACAGTGTTCAGAGTACAAGGCTTAGAGTCTAAGATCTGAGATCAAATCCTGGCTCAAACAATTCTTAGCTGTGTGACCCTGGGCAAGTGGCTTGAACCATTTCAGGCTCTGCTTTCCTCTGTACAAAATAGAGATAATAGCACCAACATCAGCCAGTCAATCAATAAGCATTTTATTGAGTATAACTAGGTGCCAGGAACTATGCTAAACACTGGGGATACAAAAAGAGGCAAAAGACAGTCCCTACCCTCTAGGAGTGAGCTGATGACGATAAGATATAAAGTGTTTTGCAACACACCATATAAACACTATATGAAAGCGCCACATAAATGCTAGTTACATTATCCTCATCACTATTGCTATTGTTATTATCGTTGTTATTACTGTTACCATTATTGTTGTTGCTACTATCTTTATTATTGTTGTTCTCACTACTATCATTATTATTACTGTTGTTGCTGTCATTCTTATTATTATATCAGAGGAGAGATAATACCATGGGAGATGATTCTTGCACTTCTCTGGAAGGGGTGCCTTAGGGGGAAGCGTGAAACACAATGGGAAAACCTCCCTATCTCTCAGACTTTATCCCTTTTATTCCTTTATTTATACCCTCACTAGGTATAAATACAAAACTTGCTTTTTAAGAGAAGGGGCATTTGGCTCCGAGTTTTACATTTCATGAGAATCCTGAGCCCCCTTGAGAAAGAGAGGCATCCACAAGATACTGGAACACCAAGAAGCTTCTTCTAACTGCCCACCTTACCAGAGCAAAACCCTCTGGTGGATCCTTTCTACTCTGGATAGATGGAGGTCTGCCCTCAACAGGGCAGGTAGTGTGGACTCAACCAAGTGCTCTGGGTTTTTGCCTTTTAGATTTAGTCTTCTGAGTGGAACCCTGCAGCCAGAGAGGAATAGTTTCTGGTTCCTAAAGTCAGCATTTCCATCTTCCTTTTTAAGCGTGGGCACTTTAAAGTCTCCAATGGGCCATGCTGATCATGCCCCTTCTTCCGCATCCATGATAGAATGGCTAGAAAGGGGACCTGAAAACAGCTGTGGCTACCAAGGAACATTTGGAAACTTTTGATTTCTCCTTAGTGGCTAGGAAGCAATAGGCAGTTTTTACAACACGTTGCGCCCACTACAAACTTGGACATTCACCTATCTGTGAGGACATTCAATCACCTCTGTTCACTAATCCACCACTGAATCAACGAATGAACTCATTCACTCACTCAAAATATATTTATTAAGTGCCTGCCTGCTATGTTCCAATAGGCACTGAAGATACATGGATTAAAACTAAAACAGTTCATGCCCTGAAGTAGCTTCTACTCCATTGAGGAGAAATAACATGTAGACACATGAATACAAATATATCATATGGAAGGTTTGGGAATAATGTTAAAGACTGAGATCCCCTTGGTGCTCACCAGTAGGGTTAATAGTGGGAAAATAAGAGGTTTTTCCAGAAGATTGAGCACAAACAAATTTATGCCCCCCCCCCCCAAAAAAAAGTAGCCTTTTCTCACTTACCACTGAGGTAAGAGCCATCTGAAAACTGTAGATCCGTGCAAGGCCAAAATCAGCCAATTTAATCTGTCCATTGCTGGTGACAAGGATATTCTGTGGTTTCAGATCCCGGTGTACTACTCGGTGCGAATGAAGAAAATCCAGACCTCGGAGTAGCTGGAACATCATGTCCTAAAGATAATCCACAATCAAATAATCAATAGTAATCAAGAAGAATCATCTCCCTTCCACAGAGTCCCCTTCCTCACCAGTCAGGGCATTATCAATATGGAATGAGAGGCAATCTGGTGTCATAATGAATAAAGAGCTGGTCTTAGAGCCTGGAATAATGATAATAATAAGCATTTGTATAGGGCTTTGAGGTTTATAAATCACTTTACAAATATTATCTCACTTGATCTCATGACAACCCTGGGAAGCTGGTGTTCTTTAAATCTTCATCTTAGAGTTGAAGAAATGCAAATAGAGGCTAAGTGACTTCTCCAGAGTCCCACTGCTAGTAAGCATCTGAGGCTTGATTTGCATTCAGGTATTCTTGGCTCCACGGCCAACCCTCTACCCACTGGACAGCCTAAAACCCCAGGCAAGTTACTTGACTTCTCAATGCCTCAAGCAACTCTGTAAGGATATAAACTGTTGTCTGACATCAGAGCTTCTACACTGTAAGTTTCCTGTCCCAATGATCTGGGCCCCATGTGGAGCCTGGCATAAAGCAGAGAGCCCAGCCATCAAAGTCGATCAATCTCACACTTCTTTTTATAAAATGACAGAACTAATATCTTAAATGATATTACAGATGAGGAAATGGAGGCTCAGAGACGTTCAGGGATTTGCCCAGGGTCACACAGCTAATAAGTGTCTGAGGCTAGATTTGAACTCTGGTCTTTCTGACTCCAATCACAGCACTCTATCCAACAATGAACCTCAAAATGAATGCCATTTTACTTACAGGGAAAATAAGTAAAAAAGAGGTTTGTGATGGCCTCCTACCTCTAAGTCCACAGCTTTTACTATGGACCCCCCCAACAATGTCTAGGCCTACATGTAAATACCCATACCAATGACCAAATCACTAAACTTGGAGTTGGAAAAACTGAGCTCAAGGCTCAGCTCTGACCCTACCTAGGTAGTCACTATGTAACCAGAACGAATCGTTGGATCTCTTAGTCAGCCAGACCTCTCTAAGACTCGAAGTTATAGTGAAGTGGCCAACTGGTACCAGTGGGAAGAATTTTCACTCTGAGTTTCCTATAGGCATGAAATTCAAGTTAGGGGGAGAAAAATACAAATTTCTATCATTCACACCTGTGATTTATCAGTGCAGAAATGCCTTCTATCAATGTACATCTATGACAGTCCTGCAATTTACAGTGTAGAGAGGGATCTCCAAAGGGGAACCACAGAACGTCAACTAGGGGTCTGTGGTGAACCAATTAGGGGGTGGAAAGATGAGTTGCATCCCCATGATGACCAATCCTGGGGCTTATCTCAAAGAGAATCAAACCAACTCTTATCCCCCACCCTCCTCCGCAAGCTCCTAGCCTCCCATAACCCTTCCCTCCCACCCCCAATACAGATATACAACTTCCAAGAGCAGGGATGGTCTCTCTATTTGTATCCCCAATGCTTAGCATGGTGCTCTGCCCACAGGAACCACTTAATAAATACTTGCCTTCCCTCCTCCTTCTCCCTTCCTTCTTCCTCTCCCCTTCCCTTTCTTTCTTTTTTTCTCTTTTTCTTTCCTCATTCCTATTCTCCCTTTCCTTCTTTCCTTTCTTCTTTCTTCTTTTTTCTATCTTCTTTTCTTCCTTCCCTCTGTCTCCTTTTTCTTCCTTCCTTTTTTCTCTTCCTCTCTCCCCCCCTCCCCTTTTCCTTCCTCCTGTCTTCTGTCTCTCTTTCCTCCTTCCTTCCTTCCCCCACCCTATCCCATGTACATAATATACACCAGTTCTAGTGATTGGAAGGGGGTGGGGTGGGATTGTAGAATATTAAGAATTGGCAGGCACCTTCCTCAGGGTCACCTAGTCCAGTCTTCACAGAATGCCACATGGTAGACATAAGCAGTCCCACTGATGGCTAGCAGTTTTCACTTTTGAGAAACATTTGAAATGGCCCAGAGAAATTGGCAGCAGAGACCTTAGACTCATACAAATAGTGTTAACTGCTGAAGCACTGGAGGGGTGGGGGGAGGAGAGGACGCAGCCTGGGAAGATCAGAGGACCATTTTAGGTCAAACGACTAGCAGTGAATAAACAGGAGTGTGAAAGTGAACCCAAACATGTGAAAGACGCCAGTCTCTACTGTAGCAAGTGAGTCTTCATTGAAAACATGTGCACACAACTTAGGAGCCCTGATTTTAAAAGGCATGCCTAACCTTAAAAAAAAAATGCCACCAAAAGCGCACGTTAGTGGGCTTACAAGGCATGAAGCACTGTTTGAAACTGTACAGAGAAACTCAGAACAAATGAAATAGAACTAGTCTAAACCATTTAATTAACCTATGAATGCAATGATGATAGCTCTTAGAGACTGTAAGAGGCAGAGAAGTGTCCATCTGTATTAGGAAAGGGAGTTTCCTACACCAAGTGAATCACAGGTCCAGACGTCCCAAAATGAATTCAATAAAAACCCAATTACCTGTATTAACTGGGGTGTGAGTGAGGCCTGCCCAATTGGTGGAAAGTCTGATTATAGAATTTTAAAATTATTTCTGATTTTAAGTGCATACAAAATCACTAGATGAGCCTTAATGAATTCTCTATAATTAAATAATTTGTAATTGACATTCTCACGACATAATGAGTACAGAAGACATCTGTAAAAAGATGACTTCATGTTAAAAACTGGTCAGTTGTTTCAGAATCATCTGTCTCTATGACGTTGGATCATCTATCATTCAGTGAAAAGGTCAACATCAATACTAAATTATATAAAAGGATAAAGAGGATACTGTGAAATTACAACAGCTTTGGCCTGACCTACTTAAATAAGCTATTATTTCTGAAAAAACAGTATTTATAAAAATTAGCCACCATTGCCATTTCCTACAGGATTTTATGTTGTATAAAACAGCTGTTAAAACGAAGAGGCTGGAATAGCCCAGGAATCATCTCAATCAAAGAATGGGACACCCATAGCATCTGTCCATTGGTACATATGTCAACCGGAATATAAATGGGCAGTGAGCTGAAGGCAGTGTAGACTAGGCAGAGAGCAGGCTGGATAGCCCTGGGGAAACTGTGCTGTGCTTTTTATGATCCCAATCAATCAATGAATAAGGTACTAAGTGCCTACTATGTGCCAGGCAAAGTGGTAGGTGCTGGGATTACAAAGACAAAAACGAAACAGTCCTTGCCCTCAAGAGGTTTACAATCTAACAGGGAAAACATAATGCATACAAAGTTATTAAGCAATATTTACATAAAATCAATACAAGGTATTTGGGGAGGGAGGCCCTAATAAATGGGGTGATAGAGAATGGCTTTAGGTAGGAGATGGTGCTTGAGCTACGTTCGAACGAAGTTCAGGATTCTGAGTCAGGTCAGGATTCTAAGTTGTAAAGTCGGAATATATCCTAGGCATGGGAAAACAACACATACAAAAAGGCCACGACTGGAGGCAGAGAGTAATTACAAAATCCTGAAGGCAACACAGTTATCAATGGCAGAGGTCTTTAGCAATAATTGGTTTTTACTAGGATTCTTTAAAGGATCATAGATTTAGAGCCAGAAGGGACCTGAGAAGGGCAGAAAAACTTCATCTTCCTAATAACAATCTTCTCTGTTCTCTAGGGATGCTAATGAACACCACAATCACAGAAGACTCAAACCTTCAGGTGCCCCAGAGGCAATGGATGGATACACAATGGGAAACAGATGATGGCAGCAAATTACCGAAGGGGACTTAAGAACAAGCAGTGGCATAAAAGTCAACATGAAGGATGCAATTTGCAAGGAGAAAGGAAATGGTCATACAGCAAGTATGATGGATAACAGATGGATAGTCCATGAAAGAGTCAACCAATTCAATATCCTGAAGAAGGATTTCTATAGAAAGGCAGAACTAAGAATGGAAATTGGTAGAGGGTTGATTAAGATCATGGGCCCTAAGAATTATCAATATAATATATATATATCTATCACAGTACTTGTCTAAGCAACTTTGGGTCCTTTCACTACTGATATGTAAATAAAACATCTGCTTCTAAATTCTGAGTATGTGAAATTTTAAAGCTTTTCCACGAACAAAATTAATGCAACTAAGATAAAGCAGTGCACTAGGAAAAAAATGTTATATCAAATATCTCTGATAACCAAGATATGTAGGTAACTAATAGAAATCTATAAGAATAAGAACAAAGAATATGAATATTTTCAGAAGAATTATTAAAAGCATATGGAAGAATGCTCCAAAATGATAATAAGAGAAATGCATATCAAAATAACTAGATTTCAACCAAATCTGCAAGGACTATAAAAGACAGGAATAGCCAATGTCCTTTCCCTATGTTATGCTGCCTTTCTCTATCTTGTCCAGAGGGATATTGAGAAATATTCCGTCAAATTACTTTCTCAAATCCACATATTTGATAACTATATCATTCCCCCAATTTAGTCAAGTAATTATGTCAAAAACAGAAATGAAGTCAGTCTCACATGTCTTATTCTTGATGATGGTACCTTAGAGTGCTAACTACTTCCCTTTCTAAATACACAGAAACTATCCTTCTAATAATGGATTCTCAAATCAGAAATGTTCTGGTAGAAGAAATACTAATGAACTGTTTGGCCAAACATACTGTATGTTCTATATCAATCTAGAATCAGAGAATTTTAGAGCATTACTCAACTACAACCAACAATAATAGGAGAACCAGGAGAGAGTTAAGGAAAGACAGAGTATCCATAGGGAAGGGTGAGTGTGCACTGTCAGATGATGCAGAAAAATCAAGAAGGATGATGACTGAAAAAAAGGCCACAGGATTTATCAGTTAAGGGAAAAAACAGGTTTTAATGGTGGGGTAAGACGCCCGATTATAAGCAAGGAGTTGAGAAGTGAGTGGAAGGCTAGAAAATAAAAGCAACAAGCATATGATTTTTCTAGGAGTTTGCCTATGAAAAGGAGGAGACGTATGGGATGATAACTTTAAGGGATGCTACAGTGATATGAAAATTTTTTGAGGATGGGGGAGA